ACTTATGTTAGTTGTTAGTCGACTAAATTCAGTCCACTAACTAATAGTTGTAGTCGAAAAATTCTACTATAAACTCTAGCAACTAAATTAGTAGACTGACTAAAATTATTTATTTTTATTTTATAAAAATCTACTAATTTTCTATTAATAAAATAATAATTTTAAGAAATACACAAAATACTACGGTGCCAGTCAGGCACAAAAAATAAACAAATTCAAAATTATTAGTCGTAACTTGGGTATAAAAATTGAGTATACCAGCTATCAGTACGAATCCTGAGCACAGGCCCGTAGTTCAGGCTAGAAGTCAACATTGGGCGGGTTTTTAGCATGCCCACGCCCTACTTTGGACAGGCGTGTTCGGGTTTTTAAAAATATTTTCAACATTTGGCGGGTTTATAAACTTTTAAATAGTGGGCGGGTGAATATTTAATATAGTTTAGGGGAAATGAGCAGAAAACAATTTATTAAAATTGCATATTATGTATGTTAAATTAAAATAAAAAGAGCCAACCCAGCCTTAAAATAATATTAGGCGGGCGGTTTAAACACAATTTATAGATGAATGGACGGGTGGGAAATTTTTTTAAGATAATTATAAGTGGACAAGGGGCCTGTTTAATAAATTTCTAAATAATAAGTGGGCGGGCTCCTTGGCTAAAATCCGCCCATCGCAGACCTATATTTCAGACCCATATATTTTAAGTTTTTTTCTTGAAGTATATAAATATATTGTTATTAGAGGAGTCAATCGATAGCTAAATAAAAAATCCATTGAAGAGTGAACAAGCCAAGTGCCACCTCTTGATGGGCGAAGCCATTACTACGAGGGCCAGGAAAACTTAATCAGTGCCCAAATATTGATGTGATGATGGATGGATCCTAATTCTACCTTTATATGGCGTATATGAATACGACCTGGGAGTGGGGGGGGGTAAATAAATATTTGATATGGTTACTCATATAATGGATCATGGAAAAATATTTTCCATCATCGCATGACTATATTTTGAATACCAGGCCGAATATCTTAAATCGCCATTATTAGCTATAAAATAAATGTAATAAAATTTTAAAAAATCCATTCCGGACCTAAAAATATTTTTTGAGAAAAAATCCGGGCCGGGCATAAAAATATAAAACTCGGGCTGGGGCCACCAAACGATAATTCTTGCAGGTCTGATTTATATATATATATAAAAGTAAAAGTTACAAGGAACGTATTAAATAATCAAGAATCATTTCGAATATTTTAATTTTATTTATGTTACTCGACGACTTGAGTCTTTAATTTCCTTAATTTTTTGATATAATTCGATTTTTTTTTTAAAAAGAAACATATTTTTTTCTTTATTCTTAATATGTAATGGAATCTTTTTTCTTCCTGCCAATAAAAAATGTCATATTTTTATCATCAGAAATTCATCAAAAAATAGGTAAATATTATTTTCTCCTGTACGATGGATATTGAATATGGAATGGATTATTGATTATCTTCAAAGTTGGATATAAAAAACTAGTTTTATTAATAAGTGATAGTATTTGTACTGGTATTTTTTATTTTATTTATGTTTATTTCTAAGTTCGCAAAATGCTGAATAAAAGTAAAATTAACATAGCTAACATAACACTTCCATAATCAAATAAGTGAATTTGCCTTTTGCGCGCACAGGTAACTGCGGCCTGCCCAAAAAACGTGGATGGTTCTCTTAATTATTTCTATCTTTTATTCCAGTCTGATGGGCTTTCATGAGGTAACCAAGTGTTGCTCTGTTGTATATATAACTGTTATATATATGACGCTGATGGCTAGGCGCTTAATATCATGTGATATGTAATATATAAATAATATAATGTATGTGAAATCGAATAACAAAATTCATTATATTTTTGTTTATTACTTCTTATTTTCATAGTTATATATAATTATAATTAAATATAGGAATTTTTTTTAAATTTCTAAAAAAGAAAATATTAACAACAAAACCAATCCCTTCTTTTTCTAGGTTATATATTTTTTTAACCATTTTTTGGGTTCCATGTCAATTCAGTGAAACTTTTATCGCGAATTACATTAGGGAATACTTTTCCGCGAAGAATATCGCGAATTTTTTATAATGAAACTTAAAGCGAATATATTACAGCGAAACTTTTATCGCAAAAATTTTATTGCGAAGTCATTATCGCGAAACCCAAATCTTGAAGACAACGAAAACTATTTCGGGAAGTATATCTCCAAGATATTATGGCGAATTTAATATCACGAGGTCAATATTGCGATAATTGTTTAGAGTTGTTAATTAGGAAAGTTCTTCCGACTACGACTAATAATCCTAGCTAAAGAAATCAACTAAAAACTTTAGTTACTAGCAGTGTTGTTAAACGCTACTTTTAAAAGTAGCGCGCTATCGCTACCGCTATCGTTTTTAAATGAGTAGCGCGCTATTAGCTACTTTTTACGCTATTTTGATTTTTTTTAAAAATATTTTTATGTAACTTTATTTTCACAAATAAAATATTGGTATAAAAACATGACTATAATTTGTTTCATATATATAATTTATTTTTTATTGCACTTTAATAATAACATTTCGGTACTCTCATGCCAAGTCTAGAGCAACCATTAGAAAGTATAAGCTTTGCCATACTAAATAATCGTTCAGCACAAGCACTTGAGGGCAACGCAGTATTAAATTTAATAAACACTTTTTATATTAAAAAAATCATCAAAGATATTTAAATGAGTATTTTTAGATTTAAAAAAAGCATCTATAGAGGTTCAATAATAATATTATTATTATTTATTTCAAAAAAATCGTCTATGAAAGGCCACGGTTTCGATCTTGCTATCGTATTATTATCGTGGTTAGGCATGATTGCCCTTTAGATTCAGTCAAATAAATGTATGGCCAATTTAACCTGAAACTAGGATGAACGATAGCAGCTATTACATTATCATCATACAGATCTGGAAATTTAAATCATATAAAGCGATTGTATTTATTATAAAAAAAGAAGAATACCTTTTTAATTTTCAAAATTTAAATTTATCTGAGATTTAGATTCATTTATAAAAATATATTAAAATAGCATTAAATTATGGTAAATAAAGAATTTAAAAATATAATTATTATTCACAAGGTAATTAATAATATATTAATTTTGAATTTTATATTAATATTATATATTAATATTATAGATTGTGTTGTAAATTAAGCCAATTTAAATTATGGCTAATCAAGCAATAAATCATTCATTTTAATAATTTTATAATAGAAAATAAAAATAAAGTTTTGACCTTTTCTCAATGCCTTTTAATATAGACTCTACCAGTGGTTGGCAAAATTTTCTTGCATCGAAACCGATATTCATTAGTGATTTTTTCTTCAAGATTAAAGTATTTTTTGAATTTTGGGAAAGGATAATCTATATTTTTCTCATTTCCCAAAGAAATTTCGCTATCTTCAACAATCTCACACATTTTAATGACTAGATTTATAATGCTAACTAGATTTATAATGTATATTTTTAAATATAAATTTCAAAATTAAATTAAATAAAAGTATAATTTTAGATTTAATAAAAATATTTTTAAATAAATTTTAGATGTATTTATTATGTAAAATTGAAAGTAGCGAAGTAGCGCGCTACTTCGCTCTTTCTAAATTAGTAGCGAGCTATCGCTATCGCTATCGCTATTTTCTAAAAAAAGTAGCCAGCTAAAGCTACCGCTACTGAAAAAAGTAGCGCGCTATTTTAACAACACTGGTTACTAGATTAGTCGACTAAAATTGATCCTAGTCGGCTTTGTCGAACCATTTAGTCGGTCGGCTTAGTTGACCCATAGTCGACTAAATTGATAGAGCCGAAGCATCACTATATAGTTGAGGTAAAAATTAAATTGTATACATAGTAAATTGGCATCTATAGATGAGCCATAGAAAAGTGATTGCCATATAGTCCTTATTTTTTAAGTTTTTTAGACGCAAATGAGTAAAAATATATGTTATAAACATGTCAATAGGATTTCCGCGAAGATGTACCATCGAAAAGTGACAATTATCATAATCGTTATTTTTAAACTCTTTTGATTTTGGGGAAAATGGGTAAAATAATAAATTTGAATTGAAATTTTAGGAAAGATGAACCATAGAAAAGTGACAATCGTCATAATCTTTATTTTATAACTTTTTAGAATTTTTTTGAAGCAAATGGATAAAAATATAAATTATAATCATTTTTAATTAAAATTTTAATGAGGATGTACCATAAAAAGTGATAATGGTCATAATCGTTATTTTTAAACTTTTTTGAAGCAAATGAGTAAAAATATAAATTATAAACATTTTAAAATTAAAATTAAATGAGGATGTACAAGAGAAAAGTGACAATGGTCATAATCGTTAATTTTAAATTTTTGAAGTAAATGGGTAAAAATATAAACTGTAATGTTAAATTTATATTCGGGTGTGCCATACCATAGAAAAGCGACATATGTCATTGTTAAACAGTATTTTATATTAACTTTAAAAAAAATTTTTTTTTTTTACATCCTTAAGCCATTTATGGCGTAACTTAAAATATTTCAAATGTAATAAGAATTGTTTCTTTCTTTTTGTTAAAAACAACTTTTATATTTTAAATCAATTTGTTTATAAACTAATATTAAATTTTATATTTTATAAATCAATTTACTTAATAAACTAATGTTCAATTTTTTATTTTTAACTTTTAAAAAAAGATCAATTACATTAAATTAAATTGTCAATATATATAGGAAACTATTTTGAATATGTGATCATATATTTTTTTAATTTAAACATCAATAAATTTACGTAATATACGTCTATAACATTTATTTTCTGCCTTTGATTTCTGCAACCTTTTCATGGTGGCAGTAAAATTTTCTAAAATATTAAATATAAATTAACTTCTTAAAATTTTTATAAAATCCAATACTATAAAATAGAAAAATTCAAGGATATTGTAAATTATAAATTATGAAACAGACCTCAAATAATAACGTTAATATTAATATTGAATTTCCAACATACACAGGTAATGGCGATGTTTTTCTAAGTCGTTTCGAAGACATATTCAACGATGCTCAGATCTCTGATATCGAAAAAGCAGGATCCTTCACAAGAAGACTACCAGACGAAGAATACATCAAGCTCAAATCGATATGTTCACCTACCGATTTCATCAATCCATCGATATTGATTGAAAAATTTAGGTTATTACACCCGAGGAAATCTACAAGTTCGAAATTGTTATTATTCAATGCAGCTGTACAAGGTAAAAATGAAAGTTACATCAATTGGGTAAGTAGATTATGTATTTTACAAAATGAATGTTCGTTAAGCGATAGTAGAGTCATTGAAAAAGTAAAAATTTCATCAAATAGCAGAAGTATCAGGCAGAAAATTACGTTGAAAGAGAATATTACGTTAGCAGAAGTCTTTAGTTTAAGAGATGATTTTGAGGAGACAGAATTAAAAGAAAATATAATAGCTAAAGTTGAAAACATTTCTTTAAATGAAAAGACTGAAGAAGAAACAAGCGTAAAACATTTGGAAAGACAAAGAGGCATAAAAGTTGAAGAAAACAAACAGGTGGTCAGATACGACGATAGACATAATCCACGATCGAATAACGATAACAGACAACGATGGACAGCAAGAGGCCATGACTTTCAAAGAAATACTTATCAAGGAAATAGTTATAACCCCAGTTACCAGGGAAATAATTACAACCCTAGACATCAGAACTATAATGCGGGTAACTACAATAACGTTAGGGCAAATTACCCAGGATTATACAATAATTTTTCAAGATTTGAAAATAGAACCAGTTATAATAACGATAATAACCAAAGATTTTATTATGATTACAATCACGGATTCAACAGACGCTATGATACTTCAAGATGCACGCAAAGGCATAGTAATAATTATAATGGAAATCGAGGAGGAAGTTACGCATGTAATTGTAGACATCATGTCGACCATAATAATCAAACACGATACACTAATAAAATAAATACCATAAACATAGAAGAAATAAAAGAGGATGATAATAATAAAATAGAAAAAAAAGAATATAATTTGTATAACTTGGACATAAATAATATGGATGCTGATAAAGACAACACAGATAATAACGCGTATAAAGTAACTTTAAAATTGAATAACCTGTCAACGATCATGCTGGTCGATACTGGCTCTAGATTCTCAATAATACCTAGTTCGATAGCTAAGAGCGCAGGCATCACTGAATTAAAGAAATCTAATTTAAAATTAACAGGCTATGACGGCTATCAAATCAAAATATTAGGAACGGCGCAAATTAGCGTAAATTATGAAGGAGTAACTAAAAATTTACAAGCGATCGTTGTTAATAGCAATAAGAGTCCATTACTTGGCAGAACTTGGCTAAGTGCCTTCAAAAATATTTTAAAAAATTTTTTGGGAAATATAGGTGATGATTATTGTAATGATAAACTTACTAAACTCATACTTAATTACAAACTTAAAATGGCCGATAAACCCATCTGCAAAACCAATATCAAGCTTCGCTTAAAGCAAAATGCTGTACCAAAAATAATACCAAATGTTAAAAAAATAAATTCTTATAGATTAGAAGAAATAAATCATTTGATAACAATTGAAGAAATTATAGTTATTAAAAACAATAATGAAACGAAAATTGAAGAAAATAATAAAATAAAAAATTTTATAATTAATAAAAAATTTAAAAAAACTTTGGAAAAGAAAATTAAAACAAAGGTGATTAAATATCATGATGTTGAAAAGGAGATTAAGAATACGATATGGAGATCATATGTTGAAAATGGAAGGAGAAAGAGAAATTTTGTTATAAAGAACAAGTTAAAGAGAAATTATGATATAAAAAAAGTGTTCAAATTGAAAAATAAAGGAGTAAAATTTAAAAAATAAAAATAATTAAATAAAAAATTATAATATAAAATGAAACAATTCCAAAACGGAAATTTGTTGTATGATATAGATACTGGGAACAAAATTATAAAAAGACACTTGGACCAAATAAAAAAAAGATCAACTAATGTAGAACTTTCTTCTAATGGTGCAACAGTTTTTAAAGCGAATGTTAATAATAATGCATCACCTTATACATTGAATTTTAGAAGGGGAGGTGATGAACCAAGAAACCAAAATGTACAAGTAAATGATCAGAATCGCAACGTTCAAAGACCAGTTAGAAATAGTGTGTTGCCTAGAAAATTTGAAAATTTTATAATGAATTAAATTTGATAATAAATTTTTTTCCTCTTCCTTATATTAAAACAAAATTAGTTTTTTTGTGTGTGGAACTAAATTGATAAAACGTACAACAAAAAAAGATCAACGAAGAGGTTAACGAGCAAGAATGACAAACGACAAAAATTATAGACAGAAAAAAAAAAAGGTGTGAAATGTTAAACAGTATTTTATATTAACTTTAAAAAATTGTTTTTTTTTTTACATCCTTAAGCCATTTATGGCGTAACTTAAAATATTTCAAATGTAATAAGAATTGTTTCTTTCTTTTTGTTAAAAACAACTTTTATATTTTAAATCAATTTGTTTATAAACTAATATTAAATTTTATATTTTATAAATCAATTTACTTAATAAACTAATGTTCAATTTTTTATTTTTAACTTTTAAAAAAAGATCAATTACATTAAATTAAATTGTCAATATATATAGGAAACTATTTTGAATATGTGATCATATATTTTTTTAATTTAAACATCAATAAATTTACGTAATATACGTCTATAACATTTATTTTCTGCCTTTGATTTCTGCAACCTTTTCAAAGTGACAATTATCATAATCGTTATTTTTAAACTCTTTTGATTTTGGGGAAAATGGGTAAAATAATAAATTTGAATTGAAATTTTAGGAAAGATGAACCATAGAAAAGTGACAATCGTCATAATCTTTATTTTATAACTTTTTAGAATTTTTTTGAAGCAAATGGATAAAAATATAAATTATAATCATTTTTAATTAAAATTTTAATGAGGATGTACCATAAAAAGTGATAATGGTCATAATCGTTATTTTTAAACTTTTTTGAAGCAAATGAGTAAAAATATAAATTATAAACATTTTAAAATTAAAATTAAATGAGGATGTACAAGAGAAAAGTGACAATGGTCATAATCGTTAATTTTAAATTTTTGAAGTAAATGGGTAAAAATATAAACTGTAATGTTAAATTTATATTCGGGTGTGCCATACCATAGAAAAGCGACATATGTCATAATCGTTATTTTTAAACTTTTTGAATTTATTTTTAACAAATGGATAAAAAAATAAATTGTATTCATGTTAAATTAAAATTTTAGAGAAGATGAACCTTAGAAAAGTTCAAATTGTCATATTCATTATTTTTCTATTATTTTGAAGCAAATGAGTAAAAATATTAATTGTAAGTATTTAAATTAAAATTTCAGTGAAAATGAACCATAGAAAAGTGACCATTTTCATATTGGCAAATTTTTTAATTTTTTATACCCCGCAGATGTTATATAAATATTATTAAAAACTACCACTCTAGACTACAACATATCATTATCAATACTATTTTAGAGAATACATATAAGAAATTCGCAATTTTTAGCCAATTATGACCTATCTCATTTTGTTTTGGATATTGTGTTTATATAATTTAAAAAACCTTAGTATCAAAATCTATTATTATCAAGCAACAAAAAAAACAGAATTATACGTTACATGTAAAAAAATTACTGTTAACAAAAATAATTATATGAGTGGAATACCCCATATTAAGTTATAATTTCATTATGCTAAATAATTGTTAGCTCAAAAATATTCTTTTGTTTTACATCCGGAATTACCCCATACCCTCTAAACTCAACATAAATAATTATAAAAATATCAAATCATTAATCTTGAAATTTGGTAGATATATTCTTTATAACAAAATCTTAAACTACTATAAAAAGCAGGTCAAATTACTTTCAGGTTTTTTTATTGCCAAGTATACCGTCCAAAACAAGAGTCGAATATTTGCAATATTCATATTCGATTGGATCGAATATTTAAAAAATATTATTCGATTTGATTCATCAAACATTCGACTCATAAATTAATTCTTTAAAAAGATTATCAAAAATGAAAAAATAGTTTATTAAAATTTATAAAAAGATTTATAGATGTGGAATAAAAGTAAAAAAAAAAAAGCTTCGCAAGGAACATATTAAATATTTAACCCTGGACCTGGAGGAATACTACAAATTCGTAAGTATTACGATTTACGTAGCGCATTTGGCAAATATTCAAATTAGTATATTTAGAAACGCTTGCAAATAGTAATTTTTTATATCTTCATTAGAACTATAACACTACTTGTAAAAATTAAGAATGATAAATCAAAACTACCCTATACATATCATAGATAACTTATTGGAAGAAAAAAATCTACCCCATCCTATTCGTATTATTTGCAAGTTTTACCCATCTAAATTGAAGAGTACGGCTACAAAAATCTGCGGACACTGCAAAAAAGGAATCTGTCGAATACATCAGCATCATGCTGCCATGAATGCTATATTATAAAAATTTTATTTTACAGGAACATATTTGCATACATTGTTTTATGATAATTTTACAATAAAAAAAAATCTTGTCTAAAGCTCAATTTATTCTGAATTTTTTTAAAATCTTATATCATATAAATTTTTACGATAGATTAGATTAGTATTAAAGTAATTCGTTCATAAGATTCGTAGTGCAGGCTTAAAAATTGTCGTGATTGTCATTATTTATAAAATGTAAATTGATTATGTCGTGACTTGTGAAATGTAAATTGATTATGTCGTAATTAATAATTGAAGGATTTTTTTTAGTATGCAAATTTTATTTGTTAAAATTATTATACTGATTGTAAATGTTTAAAAGAGATCGAGCGAAATGTAATAAGTTATATTTTTCAGTTTATATATTTTACTTTTTTAATATTAATTTTCTATTTAATAACTTTTCACGTTTGTATTAAATTATTAAAGTAATTTGTATTTTTAATTATATATTAAATTAATTCTTTAGTTTCTTAATCGACAACATGTATCATAATATTATAAAAATAATTTCAAATATTTATGAATAATTTAGAATATTATATATTAGTTTACTCAGCTAGTTATATATGTAAAATATTTTTTTAAACATATTAAAGAATATAAGTTGTAGTGTTATAAGTTAATACATTTTTGCAAAAAAATAACTGTAACTAGTTATATTTTAAATTGAAACTAGTAACTGTAACTAGTTATATAGTGCCAAAAGTAACTAGTTACTTTTAAAAATATATATGTATAAATCTAAATAATATATTCCAGTTTATTTTTAATATGCTTTTTTAAAAGAATAATATAATTATTTATTAAAATTGTAATACTATATCTATATTCTATGTAAAAATATATAATTAAAATTAGAAAAATTAAAGAAATAATGTATTTAGGTTTGGTCGGAGGGTTTAATGACCCATGTATATATATACATTTGGATCGACAAATTTTGATTGATATTCTTTGTCGTAGATAGAAGTTATTTTGGATCACCTGTGATTAAACTTAACCTTTGCCCTATTGTTTTGAATAATTTTAGGGCTTGTAGTCCAAATGATTCACAGATGTCTGAGACTACCGGAACAAAAAAAGATTATTAAGGTGGCTATATTTATTTGTTTTTGTATTTTCAGCTTTCGTGATAGAGTTGAAATAAAAAGATCTGGCAAAACGATCTACACATATATAATCCCAAGCGAGGGGTATATCTTGGTTCCTAGGGACTAGCGTCATTCCATCAGGGCTGAAGCCAGAGGGTTTAAATGTAGAAGGAATTTGCTGATTTCAAGATTCTATTGATGATTGAATTGATGGCATAATGCCTGGATAATTTGCCTTTTGAATAACGACAGTATGGGGGGGGGGATGAAGGTGTCTAAAGCTCTCAATATGAGTTTCACAAGGGGCACATGATGTCGACGATTTCACAAAACGAAGACTTATAGCTATTCTAAGTTCTTCGTTGGTTAATATATAAGCCTAAATTAGAACTAGGTATAGTTTCTAACCATTCTTAGCCAAGGTGGCATATGGCTGAGGCTGGAATTATTTGATCCAGCAAAAGAGTCGTATTCTTGTCATTTTGTATACTCAGAGTTGGGTTTAAGGGGAGAAAGAGCGATGGAGATTTTCTTTGAACAGTTTTGAAGTGTGAGTATTCAACGCAATGCTGTATCAATGGTAAATTCCAGTCTTTTTGTCTTAAATTTGGATATGAGCGTTAGAGAATCTTTGCTCCGGAGATTTAATACTGCCATATGATATGTATTCGATAGTATCCAAGTCTCCTAGTGTGTTGGAAATTTAGCAACTGAGGATAAAAAGGCTGAAATGCTTAAGGATATATAGGAATGGATGCCTATATCACCTAGCTTTGCTGGAAGGGCAGCTTGCATACTGAAGAGTCAAGAGAATTTGATATTTAAATAGATTCGATAGTATTTTTATAATGAACCTCAAGGTCTATTCTCTTCATTTCTAACCTAAAAAAATATTATTAATTAATTAATATAATATTATAGAAGATATGATAATATATGTTAGAAATAATGGTTGCATTAGCATTGTTAATGTGTGAATGACCATTTTGTGTAGTGATTATCATTGAACCGATTATGCCAAAATCATTTTTATTGGATAAATATATTTTTTTATTGGCTAAATTTGATTGACGTTTTTTGAGGATTATTATAATAGATTATAATTTGTAATTTAAATCACAAATAAATATATTTTAATAAATGAAATATTTTATTTTGTAAAAGATGCCAAGGGGAGGCCGGGGTTATATTGTCAATAAAAAATTTAAGTGCTATGAAAAATAGATTAGTAAATTCTCTATTATAGAAATGAATATTTACGAAAAAATATTTTAGTTTTTTATTTATAAAATTTTTTAAAAAATAAAAATTTAATATAAATATGAAAAACACCCGTGGTATTTATTATTCTTTGTTCTTTCGTAGTGTGTCATTCAGAGCGCATCTTTATTTATTAAAATTTTTTGTATAAAAATATTCGTCCTAACTCCTAAGTAAATAAATGAAAATAAATTGTCAAATTTACCAGATTCATCTATAATTATATATACCCCCGGGAGAACTTATCACAACTGTCATATAATTTACAAAAAATAAGTTAATTATCTATTGTCATTCGTTCCCATAGAGAATCCAGTGGCTCTAATATCTTTATATATTTAGTTTTTTTTTATTCAAAATAATCCTTGCTTAAAATGGCTAATAAGTACCCCGCCAAAACCTGCCACTGGTCCTCCTCAATTAATT